GCTGTAGGAGTTGAGTCTCTCGAATAATTGTTGCAAATGGAACTAATGTTCTTCGTGATTACGACTCGCAAATAAAATATCGTCGAGGTATACGAAAACGAAATCAAGACCAGTAAGTACCTCGTTTATAAATCTTTGAAATGTCTGTGCGGCGTTTCGATGACCGAAAGGCGTTCCAGTAAACTCAAAAAGACCGAATGGTGTTGTTATGGCTGTTTTGTAAACATCTCACTTTTCTACTGGTGGTATGCTCTTACCAGATGTACCTTAAAATAAATTTGACAATCATGTAAATGCAAATTTTGGTATAGTAATATTATTCAATTGTCTGTGATCTCCACATGCCTCGCACACAGCTCGCTACATGTTATCAGTTTTTCAAAGTTATATTTCTCTAATTTTTTAGAGCGATTTAAGCAAACTATAAATTAAAAAGAAACAGAGATAAGTCATGTGGGGAGAGGAGGGTGCCGTCCAATAGAAAAAGATAGTGCGTGCAAGACAGGACGTCGCGCCTTTATTTCTTTATGTAGGTAAGATAAAGGCGCAACATACTGTCTGGAACGCACTATCTTTTCCGATTGGATATATTTTCCGCGAAACTATATGGAATATCGAAAAAATAAAATATGCTCCTCATTAAGAACACATCAAGCTACCACCTGTTAAAAATTAAAATTTTTTCGTCAGATGGTTTTTAAGAAAAAAAAGACGCTAAATGGACAAAGTTGTCGGCCCGTAAAAAATCGGGTACATTTTTTCATTTAACTCGCGATAAAAAGAAAACCGCTGATTCGAAAATTTTCAAATTAACATATGTTACGTAGAAATGTTCAGTAATTACAACAAACGTTACCGCAATTTTTTTTATGTAGCGGTTGCGAAGATATCGATCTCCAAAGTGACAGGCCTTGACTTTTGGCACGGATAGTGGTGTGCATATACGACCTAAACAACTGGTTCTTTTTATGGATATCAGATAGAACATCATTGGTTATCTATATCTTTTTTAAACTCTGAGTTCGCGATTTTGTTTCTTATTTGTAGCAGAGATTAGTGAACTTTTTAAAAAATTGATATAATTTGCAAAATTATTGTCAATATCCAAAGCATCATCATACTTCCAATTGGAATTTATAATTACGTTCCGTAACTTTTCGTAATTAATACAAGAGAGTGTCTGATCAAGTGCATCGTTTCTCGATTGCGAATCAATATCCAAAGAAATGCTGAGAATGTAAGGTAAGTAGTCAGTTATTCCAAAAGATAAAATCAACGAAATAATCTTACTGCGCGGAACTCTAGTTCTAATGAAATAGTGATCTAAACATGACTCAAAAGCACCAAAAATTCTAGTGGGTTTAGAAATACATTGAAGGAATCCATTTTCAGAAAGTATATTCAAATAAGTATCGGTAAAAGTATTCTCTAAGTTCAAGGTATCTATATTAATATCGCCTCTGAAAATTTAAAAACCTAATTTGTAGAGAAGTATAAAGGCGTAGTACAAAGAATATAATAGACAGAGGAAGAATTTTGTTGATCGGGGTTTATCTCCAATGTGACTCTACCCTGCTGATTATGGTAAGGGCTGTTAGTAGATTCCTAATCCCCATAGCTAACTCAGTATGCATCGCGGTTCTTGCAGGTGATGAACTAACTTAAAAAAAGTTTTTCAGTTTCATCTGAATGTAAATCTATAGAATAAAATGAAGTTCTATTGTCTTGTTTTTTTTTTCTTTAGTTCTACAATCCTATGTGGATTTTAGCCTCCCTCAGCAACCTGTCGTCATTGTTCAACACCTCCTCGTAAATCCTCCTCTGCTACCATTTTCCATGTCCTTTGTGGTATCCCTTGTTCATCGTAGCCTATTTACCTTTATAAAACGCACTGTAACCTCGTCCCCTCGTGTTAGCCACCTCGTGGTTGGGCTGAAAATCTTACGGAGTATCTTTCGTTCAAACAATCTCAGCGTTTTATTGTATATTCTAAAGTTGGTCTTTCTGCTGCCGATTTTTGAGTGTATCAAACTTTTATTGAACTTAAAGAATCTCTATTGTATTATCTTAAAAAATGTCTTGTTCGTAAAATATTTATTACGGATAAATTGTTAAAAAAGGGATAACCCAATTCAATTTTGAAATTGAATAATTTATCCTTTAATATAAAAAAAAACTAAAAAAAGTCTTTTAAATCAAATAGATTGTGTTTATTGAAAAAATTTCTATTCATATTGAATGTGTCAATGAATAAAACAAAGGTTAATTTCCATTCCAATATTTTATTTTTGCAATCTTCAAAAATCTGGTCGGATTGCATAACAAAAAATATCATTCATAAAGATGAAGTCATTGATATATGACATGTTTCTGAGACAATTAAAACTTCCTATGAAAAAATTAACAGCGTATTAACCAGAAAAACATTAACACAAGTTATAAAGTGTGATCAACAAGAATACATAATCTGTCGATTAAATAATAAAAAGAATTTTAATTAATAAGAAGAATTCATAATGTATTGATTTTGAATTTTAAGCAATAAATGCATGTGTTTATTCTATTCTTGTTTTCTAGAAAATAATTTTGGATCCAATAATATTAATTAATTTTTAAATGATAAAAAATCAGTTTATGTTAAATTTTAATGTATTGTTTACATAAAATCATTCTAATAATAGATAATTGATTTAAAGTGAATCAGCCAAAACGCATTCTTTTCCAGACAAAGCATACAGACGTTTCGAATATTAATTAGGTGGAAGTAAAATACCGGTTTGCGTATATTTTAACACATTGCAAGCATTTTTTTGCAGTCGCGGAATTTCGAGTGGGTTCAATGTCTTTATCATGTCTCAACTATCATTTTCCTTACAAGTTTATTAATTTATTGTTGTTAATATTTAAAGTATTCCCTATACATATATAAATGTTTCCTTGAGTTTGTTTATGAAATGAAGTTATCTTGTTTAGTATAAAAATTGAAAAGGATGTTATGGAATTGTGTCTTCATTGCCAATATGGGCAGGGTATATGGTTACAGTTGGAATGAGATCACAACGGTGCGTTCGGTGGCCGTTTATCACGTCGCTACGTATTCATAACACATTGTTTGCCTTCGCCATTAGAACATTTTCACCATGCGGACGAAGCGGTGCTGCCGCTGGGTGGGGACGACATGGACACTTACGTATTATGGTCACGGAGGAACACGTCAAAGGCACTGGCGTTCCTCACCCAGCACGTGCCTCCTGGAGGAAGTAGGTGTTGGCAACGGCAAGCCAAAAAGCACCCTCGTTACCAGTGGATGACCAGTGTATCATCGACCATCGACTGTGTTCAAACTATCCCAAAACAAGTTTGTGTTTAAACTCCAGTAAAAAAAAATTTTTTTGGTTGAAGAAACAGGAAAAGGAAATGGATTCAAAAATAATTTTTTTCGATTTTGAAGATGATGTGAAACAGAGAAGGCAAGATGTCGGCATAGCTGAAAGAAATTGGATCCCGGCTATGTTGCATCAGGCCAACTTATGTTTTGCGATTGCAACATTATGGAATCTGAAAATTATTTCTTATTTTTTGAGTAAGTTAAAAAAAGTGTTAATTAGATAATGAAACCAAAAATAGAATATTTATAACTTTATTATTGAATAACGTCACCTTGATATAAACGATTCAAAACGTTTACTATTTTCGTTAAATAGTAAAAAATCGCGAATTGGTGTTCGATCTATCACAATGTCTACAAAAACGATTTCTTTTTGAAAAACATTTTTAAATATTTTTCCAAACTCAATTTGTCGTTGTCTAATTGCACCAGTAGCTTTGTTTGTCTGTAAAACCATTTGAGCAAACTATAAAAAGTGGTGTATAGTGAAATCTGGTTTTCAGACGATAACAGCTAAGCAAACGCCGGACAATTAGTACATTGGCCGGCAACGAATCGGTGAAATAGTACCGGGAGGAATGGAAAAAATATTACGCAACAACCTCTAAACTCTCTACCAGTAAAAATTTGTTAAATTTTTTATTCTACAGTCGGCAAATGATATGTACTACGTTTTAATTTCTTATTTTCTCGTTAATTTACACTTCGCATTTGTACTAAATATTCTAATTCAGCAAAAATATACAATCGTATTAAGCCACTGCGTTTGTTTGTTGTTATTTATTTATTTTTTTAATATAAATATTTTTAATATGTCCTCTACGTTGCACTTGGATTAATGGACGAAATGCTTTTGCGTAAATCGCTAGGATAATAGCGAAAACGTACGTTGGAGAAACACGTTTAGAAATATCACCAAATTATCAAAAAAAACCAAAACTTGTAAATAACACGGTGATTAAGCAATATCATCGAAATCGCTTATGTTCGCAATTACCTAGAAGTATTAACACCTAAACATTTTTATCTTCAAAACAATTAGATTATTGTCTCAAAATTACAACCTTGAAATTCATTTAACTTAATAATTTTTTATTTAAACGTATTTCATCCAACGTTTCTTCAAAAAATTTAATACAAATTCATTTAAATCTACTTCGAAATCTATAATCTACATACTTTCAAGTCCGCGGATTTATTGCTACGTTAAAATCGAACGCGAAAATTTTCGTGTCCGACCAAGTTCCAAGTCCACACCCGGGACCTGATCGGAATAGAAAAATCACAAATCACTATTCATATCACGACGGTCGACTCCCCGAAGCCGCCACGGCCGTAAATGGCGAACGAATATCGTCCATCGTCAATTTTAAATATGAAAAGTTAATTGAGGAAACGCTTCCTTTTCCACAAGGCATCGAAATGAGTCATCATCCATCACGTCTTTATGTGTCATTTATATTTAAAGAAGACGCATTCATATCTCTAAGCAGTCATACATCCAAGTTTGAATCGATAATAATATATAAATATTATAATTCGAAAAATTTACATCGAGTAAACAAAAATAATAAAAAAAAACAAATCATAATAAAATAAAAAAATCTATTTCCAAAATAACAGTCTAAATACAAAAAATGTATTACCCCGGAAAAACCGAGAAAATTAACTCATTTTTTTAACATACGTAAATTGTTCTCTTTACATAACAATAACAATCAACTACGTTATCACAAAAAAAAATTATAATCTTTCAATAACAACCTTTCCTTTTTTGAACTATTCTTTGATCAATATTCTAAATCAATTTAAAGAACCCACGACTCATAAGATGCTGACCAAGAAGTTATGGCCGTCCACGATGGGAATTTATTTAAAAATTCTTGGAATTGTTTAGTTGAAACCTTAGAAGAACCGAAAAAGTACTGTCCTCCAACGGCCAAATCAACAATCGGTCCTTGATGACCTTTAGGAACTACAAAATCCATGGCAAGATTTAAAGGTACGTGTTTAATTCCGACACCGTAAAACACGAAATAATTGTCTCTTCCGTTCCAAGGAGTTGCTGACACGAGAGGTTCACTGGGTAAACTCCAATTGCGAAGTTGAACTCCGGGAACTGGAGAAAACATCACTGACGTTTGAACTGGACCGTCCAATTTAATTGTAATTCGCTCTCCGACATCTATTTTATATCTTGTAATGTTCGCGGTAACTTGCTTTTCTAAATTTGGTGGAGGTGCCGAGATAAAATGAGTTTTCCAAATCATACTCATCACCGGAACTAGGTAAGGTAATCCACAAAACAAGTATTTTTTGCAGTCTTCGTCCACTGGATTTGCTACGTACATTTCAGGAACGTATCTGTGTACTGAATAAGGGCTATTTATGTCCATGTCTATTACCCAATAACCAGAAGATGTTTTTGGGGCATCACCGGAATTATCATGCATTGTTCTTTGCACGTGCTAAAACATTATTTTAATTAAAAATTATTGAACAAAAAATTATAAATTATTGGCCACTTTTTATTTAAAAGTATTCAAATGTTCATGCTTCGGAAACAGAAACTTACCGTTAAATAAATTGAGTTATAGCAAAAATTTCAAAATAATTAAATCTAATATAATAAATTTAAAATATGTTATCGGATTTACACAAACTCAAACATTAATTAAAATATTTGTAAAAATTAATATAAATTATCTTGAATCCGCATTCTGTTTGATAAAATCTTAACGATTTTTTGCATTTTTTGAATTAATATAACTAAATATTTAATTATAACATATTAAATAGCATCGAGGTGAAAATGTTCTGGGCGATCAAATAAAAAAGTATTCAAAATCACCATAAATTTTAAGCTTATTACAAAATTTCTAAAACATTTTTTAGTTAGAAATATAAAATTATTAGTATTTGTATTATAATGGAGAGCGTTGATTCTGATAAGCTATGAGAAGTCTGCATTAACATTCATATAAAAAAATTATAGACAGCAGAAAAGTACACAAAAATAAGTTATTTAAACTTTAAAATATGAACTAGAAGCATCACTATGGTGCAGTGCATTGAAGCTGGTCATTAACAAGATCAACCATCAATTTACATCTCATAATTTTTATGCTAATTTACAATTACTATGTAAAGGCCAAGGTTTCACACGCTAATATGAGGAGTCGTTTCACGCTTTGTGCTCTGCTTTTTCGCACTCACAACACCAGATTGAAGGGTTTTCTTCTCCTATAATCTTTAAGGAATCTATGATAATAATTTAGAAGTCCCAAAAATGCTCTTATATCCCTTATTTTCCGTGGTTTTGGAAAACTCTTAATTTGTTCTAGTCTCTTTGTATCCATTTTAATTCTCGTTTGATTAATTTTGAAAAAAATTAGATTTATTTATGTTCATTTTCATTCCGTTATCGGCTAAAGTTGAAAATATAATTTTTACATGCTTTAATTGTTCTTCTTCAGTGTTAGAAAAAATTAAAATATAATTAAAGCTAAATGACTGTAAACGGTAAACATTCCCATTTATTTTAAACGCATAATATTTTTTAGATTCTTTGGAAAGTTTTATTAACCAGAAAGCTGCTGTTAAATCTATTTTAGTGAAATATTTGCTCGTTCCGCATTTTGACATTAAAATATCTACCGTTTGTGGAGTTTCAAAACCTGGTTTTATTCTTTTATTTATTTCTCTTGCATCCAAACAGATTCTTAAACTATCATCGGATTTTTTAACATTTACAATCGTACTTATAAAATAGGAATTTGATCTTTCTATGATATGTTGATCTATCAATTTATTTACCTCTTCGTTAATTTGTTATCGAAAATGAAAAGGTATTGGATAATTTTTACAATTTAAAGGTGAAACATCTTCTACTTTTATTTTATGAACATAATTCTTGGCAAACGTTATTTTATCATTAAATGTTATCGAACTATCATCAATATTTCTTTCAATCTTTCCTTACTTTCTTCCTTAATCTCAATCTTCTTTACCAGTTCTTCTGTATGCCATTTCTTATTTCCTTCATCAATAATTACATTTTTTTAATTAATATTTTCATCATTTATACTTAAATAACTTATTTCTTCCCCATATTCATTACTTTTATAATAATTTTTCCCTTTATTTATATAATAAATTCTTTTTATCTTTTCTGCATTCTTTTTCCTTTCAAAATACTCATTCTTTTCTTTCCTCACACTTTCTTTAACTTTTCTTCTTTTTCAAAATCTAAGATCATTTCATGTTTTCTTATATTACCTATTCCTATTAAACATTCATAAGTTATATTTCCAAAGAGATAAAATTCCATTAAATATATTTCGTTATTGATTTCCGTTAAAGAATATAATGTTTGAATTACTTGTCCTATTTTTTTACGATTGGTTGGAAATATTTCTAATCTTTTAATATTTTCAAGAAATTTTCCTAAATTATCATTTTTTTTGTTATTTCATCATTAATTATAGAAAACAGCAGCAGTATCGATTATCGCTTTAATTTCAAGGTTTTGAACTTTTATTTTGATAGTTGAAATATAATTATATTGAATTAAACTAACTTAAAATTTAAGTCTCTTCATTAAAATTTAATTAAATTGTAAGGATTATCATAAAATTTTGGTTTAGTTGTGAAGTGGTTTATTTTGCTAATATTGCTTACCATTGAATAGATTCGTTTTCTGGAGTAGTCATTTTCTTTATAATTATCATTTTGTTCAGAATTAATGTTTTTTTTTTCTGATTTCTTGATTCATCTCCAACTCTTTCTTCCGAATAATTTCCATATGTCATGTGATTCATCTGTATGTTTTCTCGTTCGGGGACATTTTGTCTATTCTGAGGAACAAAATTAAACCCACGAAGTGATCCTCGGTATTGGTGTTAATTATTTGGAATATAATAATACATAATTTGTATTATTATTGTTGTAGTTTGTAGAGTTATTATATTGTTTATTATTGTTATTTTGGTAGTTGTAGTTTCGTTTATTTTGTTCATTATTAATGTAGTTGTAGTTTTGTTTTGTTTCCATAGTTAGTATTTTGATAATTCATGTTTCGTTCTCTTCTTTGATTCTTCGAAGAATTTCCATTAATTCGGTCATATTTGATATCTTCTGATATACTAGAGCAACGTTGTCTGAATTTACGAAATGTTTAATTAAAATTTCTGTTATTTCTTTCTCATCCAATCTTGATAATTTTCAATGATGTTTTCGATTTCTTCTGGACTAAAATTCGCTTCAAGAGCTATCCCAAAATTTTCATTTCTTAATTTGGTCCTCAATCAATTCAATTTCTCTATCTATCTTGTCCTTTCTTTCTTATAAAATGATTTTGCATTTCTCTTCTACTCTTTTCTCTACATATAAAGGTATTTGATTAACGTTCTCTAACAGAGCATTGTATTCTAGTTATTTTCTGGTTGACCTATTATTTCTTTACTTAATTTATGTATTTTTTCACCAAATTTCTTCTGATTTTCATTCAGGTTTTCTTCTAAATTGTTTTTCATTTCAATCTTGTTTTGTTCTATTTTTTTTTTCATTTCAATTTTATTTAACTTTTTATCGGATTTTTAAAGAATCCGTCTTATCATTTTTTCTATTGTTTCTATTTATTTATTTTTTTTTTGGTATTAACGTCATCTCTTGACACTATCATGAAGGTGTGGTATTACATCACATAATATGTAAAGCAGGTACAAGGTTGGTCCTAAAATCGCTTCACTGTGAAACACATGCATTGATATATTTGAAATTTATATAGGTAGGATTCTAAAGAGTTGTGCATATTGAGCTGGTAGCATTTTATTTAGCTTATGAACTAATCTATGATGACAAACGCTATCAAAAACCTACATCAAGGAAAATCGCGGAGTAGCATTTTCATCTCGATTTGATCTGTAATCCTGTGAACTCGATCAATGGTATAATGTTTATCACAAAATCTAAACCGGTGGTCCGGATCAGTTGTCTTCTAACTAGTAATAATTGGTTATGATCTCTTTAACAGAAGCTTTTCAAATACCTTCGACATGATAGGATGCAATGATAGTGGCCTGTGCGACTTTGTATCATTAATTAGGTGGTTTACCCGGTTTCGACAGCATGATGACCTCTGCAATTTTCCAGAAATCTGCCATATGTCTAAGTCTAATTGCAGCGTCGCATATTTTTGATGCAGTTATTTGATTATATCGTATGTAATAAAATCATATCGGAGCCTTCTTCGATGCTGTCTTTATGCTGATCCTCGCTGAAAAATCAGTGTTTGCTCCATGTGGTTTATATTACGCCGTATTTACAAGATGGTTGGCAAATGCTTCTTCAATTTTACATATGTTCTCTGATCCACGCTTCGTCATGATTTCTAATGGGCAGAAATAATCTTCATCCAATTTTCGGATTTCTTGTTTATGTTGTTGATATTTGTTGTAAAGAATCTGAATGTTCGAGATGACTTGCTTCGTTTCTAAAGCCAGCTGTTTGGTTTTTAATTCGGCTTTTAAACTTTCCCAGTTCGCAGTTATGTTCACTAATCCAAGCATTACTTCCCTGCGAATCATAATTTCGGAGTAATTAGAGTTCAGGTCATATACGTTTGTTACGTGTGTTACAGACAAGTTATTCAATTGCTGCTTTCAGTTCGCAACATTTTGTTGTAGAAAAGCTGAAAGCCCAGTCAACGTGTTTCGCCTTGAAATCCACTCCGATATCCACTTTAACGAGATTTTTCAGGACTGATAAATATTCTTTTTGTTTAATATTACGCCTGGGTGGGCAATACATTTTTATCTTTGTCTTCACTAATAAATTTGAGATGGTAACGAAACAACAAATACTTTGTAAGTACGTGTTGCTTTATTGAATACGAATATAACCAACACAATGAATTAAACGTAATTTACGAAATTACAACAACTATAAACTTTCTCCATGTGTTGACGCCAACGACCGTAACATGAAAGTCGGCTCGTTGTATCTTTAAATCTTGATGGTATTCAATATTTTCTGCTATTTATGTCCATTTAGTTAATGCACAGTTTAAAAGTTTTTTATTAAGTTGGCGATTTATTCTGTGCTACATGAATTTTGTTTAGAATTTCAAGATGAACCGATATATGGAATAATATACAGGTGTTCTATTAAAGAAAACGTAACTTGTAAGTACGTCATTGTAACTATGACGTTTCGTCATAACTTTTTGACTGACCCTGTATACTTCATTTATCTTTATTGTAATAAATTTTAAAAAACACTGAATGTTTTGTATCATAACATTTTTCGCTAGCTGTCTTACTTTAGCAGATAACGGACGATTACCATACATATCAGCGACCCTCTATAATCATGAAAAAGAGAACTATCCACTTTGTGGGAGAACGTGTGCAAAATCTCAAGGAAGAAATCATTGTGATCAAAATAAGAAAAAGCAAATGAAGAAAGAAGTTGACGTTGGAAAGAAGAAAGTTCGTAACGTTGAATCCAGAGAAGATGAATGAAAAACCTTGAGGAGGCTTGATTCACACTTGATCCCTTGTTTTTCTTCCACACTTTGTTAAACACACAAATTGATCATCGTTGCACAGAGTGTAGTACTGTAATCAATGAATTTAAACCTTATTGCAATTAATTATTGCAGTTATCAAACTGCATGCGATGTTTTCTTCCTATTTTCTGTGTTATACCTTTATATGTTGGGGCTATTCGAAGCACACAACGTTACTATTTAATACTGAAAGGAGATGCCTAAGATTGGTAACATTGTGTATTTGTTTAACACTTTCTTGTTTTTATAATTTAATATTTTTAACGTATATCACAATAATGTAATGATTTGCTGGAAATTGCCATCAATTCAATAAATGATTGCCATTCAACCTTTGATTAGCAACCAAGTATTGGCCAATCAGCTAATTAATTAAAGGTTGTTTATGACAGGACGGATAGAGTAAGAAATGGAACTAACTACTATGAGATACGCTTTTATAACTTATTGCCTGAACCTGTAAAAGAAAATAAATGTAAATATATTCAAAACTAAGAGCGATGGATATCTACTAAATAAAACGTTTTACCACATAAATTAATATAAGTGTAATGATTTTAATGACCTTGTATAATCTTTTCCTTCCATTGCACGTTCCTGCTCTAGTTTTTTAAATATTATTAATATGGTTTGTTGATTTTGATACCGTTATTCTACAATACATGCTTTATGTAGTTTACTGTACTTTGTGTTGTGAACTGCTATGATAAATATGGTTTCTCGTTCCCAATGATATTAGTATTCTAAAAACTTATGATTTTAAGCTCTATCTAATTAAAGCTCTGATTTGTTATATATGTATTAGATATCTACACTTATGAAAAAGAACATGCCAGTTGATAAAATAGATTTTTGAATTTTTTGGTGTTGAACTATGGTAGTTGGGAATAAGAAGAGAATATTGGTGATACCGATATTCGATGTAAATTGATTTAAATGAAAAGTGGCCCATACAAATATCTGTCAGTTTAATGGCACGAGATAAGAAAGGTGATTTCTTTATCTATTTAAGAGTGCCAAATTTTTTACTTTTTAAGATCAGATTTTTTAGATCAATTGATATTATGGAACTGTTAAAAATAACTACCTACAAGTCTTATTATTTAAAAGATATGAGGTCAATTTTATCCATTCTACCAGTGTATGTATCAGGCGTAAAATTTAAATAACCAATTCACTGAACACTTTCAAGAGTTCAATATAATCATATTTGAAATTGTAATTTTTAAATCAAATTTGGCGAAGTCTCTGAAGATGCCGTTATAGACGAAACTAGTAAGACAAATTAAATTATACAATAAACCAGTTAAAATACAGGGAAGAATTAATCTCAAAAATCCAATAACGTGATAACGACAAATATATTACAAATTTACAATTGTTATAGAAAATGACTTCAAATCACCTTTTATATCTCGTGCCCGAACGACATAATATTCTGTTATTAATTTTACTTACACAGAGCATAAATCTTTGCGGTGCTAAAGCACCAGGTTCTCCTGAATAAGGAAATCCGGCAGTAGTCAATAATAACATTCCAATAGAGAGCAAAAATATTCCCAATAATATCCTAAAAATCTTCTGGACGTCTCGTACGATTAAAATTAAAGGAACAGCAAAACTTATTCTTAACGCGATCAAAAAACTGACCATAACGGCGATTAATACTTCCGAATTATTTCCAGCACCAGCTCTACCCATAATTGGAATAAATAGGTACAAGGCGCACACAAATAAATAAAACGATTGAACGAACGGTAACCCCATTACTCCGATATGTAAAAATAACCATTTCTTCCCACGTTGTCTTTTCAAAAAAATTGACCGGATTACGTTTCCGGCGGTAGCGAATACGACCCATAATAATGGAATAAAACTCGATCTTATTCGCAATAACGTACCGAGTCCTAGTAGTAATGTAAAATGTAATAGATAAGCGTCGTAATAAATTTGGAATATTGTCCATGGCCACACATCAATGTCCTATAAAAAAATTATTAATTTTAATCTCAAATTTTCATTAAATTTTTATTTTTATTTAAATGTTCGTAAATAATCTTGATCTTACCAAAAATAATTACTAAATATGCAATGTATTAGGACCTTACTAAAATCAAGATAAGAAATAAGATTCAATAATTACTTTATGAGTGTATTTAGCGTGTGCGAATATGACAGCAATCGCTACCAAAGCCGTAGGCACCATGTACAAAAAGAAAACCCATACCGGTTTCCCATACCAAGCCATTTTTCGATCCAGAACGTTTAACATTATTGCGATTAGTACTGCTGTTAACACTGCTAGCACCCATGTCATTACTATGGCTCCCATTGCCTTAAGTACTCTAGTATAATATTGCCTTTTTGAAATTACTGAAAATTAAGAATTATTTGTTACAACATATCAATTTATATACTAAAAATTGCTTAATACTTTAGACATAATTTTTCATCTTAAATTATTAGAGAAAATCCATTTTCGATATTTCTAAAAATTGTTGTCTGAAAATCTTAGTCTAAGCAAAATTTTGTCAACCATATATAAATAAAAACAAAAAGCTTTTATCGAACGATGTTGTTATTTATTATTGTATTGACGTTATTTATAATACCTATATACAGGGTGAGTCAGAAAGAATGGGAAATTCGAATACCGGAGACACTAGACACTAAAATATGACGATTTAACCTAACATCTCTTATACAAATGTCGGTGGTTTTCAAGGCACAGGGTGTTGAAAGTTAAATTCTTATTTCGAAATTTCTTGATAATTTTGAAGGTTTTTGTAATATTAACATAAAATTTGGTAGTTAGATGTTTTCGAGCATGAGAAATACGAATTTGATATTTGTTTTGTTATTACTCGTAGAGGGCGCTAGATACACACTATACGTTTGAGATATCAAGTCATGACTATTTTGTCAGTTGAGGTATGGTGAATTAGAACCAGAAATCTGAAGGAGTTTTCAATTCTGCACAAAAAAGGTACTCTTGCTTACATTGTCTAAGTCTACTGGTTTCCAAGTTATCTGCTTTTAATTGTTTCAAAATAATTTTAAGATTAACATTTAAAATCAATAACACACAGTAACTATAGCAATTAGTAACGATAATAATCGATAACAATAACAATTAATTAATAACAATAGAATATTGCGACCATTTTCAAAAATCCAGTGGACCTAAATCTGGATTTCTCACTATTAAAAAACTCATTATGTCGTGGCATTTTCAAATTGGTCAATAACTTTATTGTTGGTAAAAATGATTATTGCACACGGAAATTAGATCAATGTTGACAATTAACAGGCAATTGTCCAAACATAAGCGGAAAAATAACCCAACTTTGCTTATGTTAAAAAATAAATATTTTAGAAGAAAAAATACATTTAAACATTTAAAAGTAAATAATTCGAAAACCGATAGACTTAGACAATTTCAATAAGAATACCTTTTTTATGTAAAATTGAATGCTCTTTGTGATTTGCAGCTCTTATTGGTCCTAGCTGTTGAGCCAAAAAACTTATGATTTGATTTATCAAACAAGCAGCGTGTATCTAGCGCCCTCTACGAGCAATAACAAAACAAGTTTCAAATTCGTATTTCTCATGCTCGAAAACATAAAACTACCAAATTTTATGTTAATAGTACAAAAACCTTCAAAATTATCAAGAAATGTCGAAATTAAAATTTAACTTTCAGCACCCTATGCCTCGAAAACCACTGACATTTGTATAAGAGATGTTACGTTAAATCATCATATTTTGGTGTCTAGTATCTCCGGTATTCGGATTTCTCATTCTTTCTGACTCACCCTGTATATTCTTTGTAATCTCACTTTTCAGATTATTAGAGAGAAATGGGATTTAATTATGAACAATTTTCGGTTTTTTCGTTTTGAACAATATCTCCTTTTCACTAGATGCCAAAATTTCTCTTTGTAGATTTATGGTATAATCGGTGTACCAATTGGGTTTGATGCTTCCGTTATTGGAAAATTTGTTATTTACCTATTGATTATTAGTGTCTCGTCATAAATAAATTTGTTGATAACATCATCACCACCATGCCAAGGAAAATAACTCACATTATGATATATATGTATTATGTCATACATAATTGTGTCTTAATTCACATTAGGATGATTATTATTAAATTATCTTAATTACATTTTTATGCAGATAGTAATATAGCGTCCCTAATTTATATACCAACCTCATTTTATCGGGTTATTGAATACCACCAATCACACAGGCATCCTATAAAAGAATCATCGGTTTTCAAACATAAAATGTGTCAACGATTGGAAAAGTGACCAATAAATTTGAAAAAACTAAGATAATTATGATCGACGTATCTACCAGTCTCTCAAAAACATAGCTGCTGTCAGCAAGAGTGTTGTCGAAAACCCGTGAACATCAATTCGACATCGTTCACAACATATTCAAATTTATAGAAGCACCACGAAGCGAATTCTGTGAAAGGCTCACCGTATTCATTCCTACAAAGATTCAGGTAACCCAGGAGCTCAAACCAACAGAACACACACCGCACCGTCAATTTTCAAAAAAAATAAGTTCACTGATGAGGTGCATTTTATTTGAATAGGTTATACTTTAGTAGGTTATACATACCACACCTGTTCCAACGGAAATAAATGTACTTCCAACGAGCAATTATTTGGTGCGGATTTTGAGGCATGCAATGCCGTAACTGTCAACGATGTGGGGGTTCGCAACATGATAAGGGAGTTCTTATGGCCTGATTTGGATCGTATGGAAGACATGTGGTTCCAGCTTAATAGAGCAACCTGCTACACGGTGCGTGAAATAATTCAGTTATTGTAGGAACAATTTCCAAATCGAATCATTTCCTGAAAATCCACTGATATCAATTGGATACTGAAATCGTATGATTTGACGTCGTGCGATTTCTTCCTCTGGGGTTTTGTGATATCACATGTTTATACCGGAATGTTCCCGAAAGTTTCATGAAAAGAGCGGGTCTGTGATCATAATCGTAGGGGGCATTTGCCGGATATTTGTTTGTTATTTGTATTGCAGTAAAATTATTATTACCACTTGCTCAACAACTTATGCGTTATATTTTAAAATTAAATCGAGTACTCTTATTTGGACCTATATAACCAAAGTACTGCTAAAGCAAATTGTATTTGGTTATATAAAATCTTGTAGTAAATTCCTTCCGTTTTTGCGAATTGGCCGACAAGGATGCCAAACAAATGGTCGTTCTTTATTTCTAATTTTACCAGTTTTAGACCCCATTTTCAATGCAAGAATGTATCAAATCAACCATATCGTCACCTAAAGAAGGTCGCTAGTCTGTGTAACATACTACAAAACAATTACTCAACTCTTTCTTTTACACGAAACCATATATTACTTACATCCTTTCTAATCTTCCATAAAGCCCACTTCTTAAATGTGAAAAACGAATTTCTTCATCTACCAAGGAATAAACCAACTCTGACGTAACAAATATAAATATAACAACTCTTAGTTGTTAAGATTCTCATTTAGAATAGAACCATAAGCATATTCTCAGTCGAACATCATAAGCAATTGACGAAACTGTTGCATATTAACGGGATTTCCAACAGAAATATAACAATTTTGTATTTTAATAGGAATGCGCTCTTGAATATTTTACATAATTTAAAAGGTTAATATTCTTATGATGAAGTTCACGAAAAAACAACGTTTTAAAAATGCAAAATTACTACCGCAATTTTGAATAGGTGGTCGCAACTTTAGAAGTGATTCCTATTTACGGTGGTAGTAATCGTCTCACCATATAGGCTGATAGGCTGTGCGTGCTTAGTGAATAAATTGGAAACAAGGTATAGATGTTGTGCTGAATATCGTAACCGTTTCAATTCAAAATGAGCCAAATCAGTCGATTCTACACAGTTATCAGGAGTTTGGAATTTCTCAACTACACTGGGTCGAATTTTGTGTAATATGTACATTTTACACTATAACAAGATGAAATTAACTCAAGAACTGAAGCCTCTTGATCATTTGAAACGTCAAAACTTCTCAGAAGGGGTTTGCTAGAAAATCCCAAATTTACTTAACTTAATGGTTTTACCAATACGCAAAATATGCCTTATTGTACAACAACAAATCCTGTACAAGAGAGTACGATACAATCATAAAAAATGAGTGTGGATTAATCGTATGATATTATGTGGTTGATGAAATAATCGCTATGTTACGATCAATGGAGTTGGTTATCGTGCCATATTAGAAGACTCTTTTTGGCCAGAATTTGATGGACTTGTCATGAGTGATATGTAGTTCCAACAAGCCTGTGTCACATACCACACAGCTGGTCAAACAGTTTGTCTATTGAAGGAAGAAGTATCGTTTTTTAGTACATTTTTTTTTCATTTCCAAATCATTCTGCTAAATTTTTGGCTTGCTTTCAGTTACGGTAGTTCTTTCCTCCTTCATTATTTATGAACCCTTTATGTGTTTTTTATGAAATCTCTCTGTCTTACTATTGGATTTATTTTAATCGTTTCGAATTTTCCCGTTTCTATTCACCACTCTTCACTCATTTTTTGTTTCTTCCTCTCTGAAACCATTCATTTTAGACCTTCGTTCTTTCAACAGTATACAGTTTATGATATGTTTCTGTTGTTGATGTGAGTTTAAAATGTTGTCTTGCCTTTAAATTTTCTAAATAAATTCTCTATTTTAAAATCTTCTAACTCTTCTTTTTGTCTTATTTTTGCTTTCAAATTCGCTTTTTCTGTATCTTTTCTATTTTAAATCTGTGTTGCTCTCTTTCTAACACATTCAGATAACATTTGGCTTGTTTATAATTTTTACCCATTTTACTTTTGCTGTTTTTATGTCTTCATCTTTCATTTCTCTTCTGCTTTCATTTTTCACATTCATCCTATTCCTTTTTATACTCTCCCATGTTTCTGCTTTCTTTACGCTACTTTTCTCTCTATTTTATGATTGTTTTTAATTTTTATAGCCTGCTCAAGCAACAAATTATGCAAAATTCAACACGTAGGTCCGTATTCATATATTTCTTTCCTTTTGGCAGTTTTCTGGTGTATTTTATTAAGTTTGCAAATCCCATACATATTTTACTCGGCAACGTTTTCCAAAACGATCATGTATATTGCCTATGTACATTTTTTAGTAATAAATAGTGATAAAATTTTTACCTCATCTATATCTTCTAGTTTTGAAAAATACTAAAACATTTTCTCACTTGTGTTGCACAAAATAGCGTTTAAACGCTTTATTCCAACGACTTGTCTATAGTGAAGACGAAAAAAATATACGAACTGAAGAAATGCAAATTTGTTTAATCAAAAAATTGTTGTAAATAGTTGTTAGTGTAAATGCGTTTGAACGAAATAGCTCAATACACTGTCATTATTATTTAAAACTATGAATTAATTAAATTAAAATGTAATATAGTAAGCCAGAAGTTATGTAATGAAGTTATCTCCTTTTTCCAATATCATTATAGAGTTGTATAAAAGTTTAAAATACATGTTATCTTTATAGCTTATATTGCTTGGGTGGATTTGTATTTCGATAATAATAAACTTATATACTGTATCTGTTTCCTTTTAATTAGTTATTAATTGAGCTTTAATTCTTACCGTTGGAATGTTCCTTTACATTTCTCAATACCGAGTAAACAGAAAATATCACAGATAGCGTATTGATAATATCGGAGACCATCATAGGCCACCGGATTACGAAAGCTCCCAGAAAATCAAAAAACACCAAGTTTCCGGCTTTATAGTTTTCAACATCCGACAATTGGTGACCTTGAGCCATGCCCAGAGCTAACGACAAAATATTATCGCCAGTCCTTTGCAACGATCCCAAGGGAATTTGATCGATCGAATCGAATTTGGTGTGATAAACGTATCCATTTGATGACCAAGCGAAATCCAATCCTAAAAAAAATGATGCCGATAATTTTTATTGTTTTTTGTTATTTAAAAATTGATAAAATTTTTACACCTGATAAATTTCCAAAGTCCCTAAAAATCCTATAATCGGTATCACCGGGGATGACACCGCTTTGGAAGATTTCTTGCGCTAGGGATGAAGCGTAAGGGTAAGGCACTTCTTCGGAGTACGTTTCCAAAAGCCAGGGATGATTTGGTCCTGCTTGAAAAAGAACTTCCCTCCCACCGGCCCCGCATGCTTCCAAATTTATAAAAGCTCTAATCTAAAAAAACATAAATACATTCGTATCACATCGACCATTTCTTTATTTATTGTTGAAATGCGGTATAAATTATGATCAAATACGAAGAGGTAGTTATTAAAAACAGTGTTGAAAATGGTTAAGAAACAAATTTATTATCGTTCAACTTTAAAGTGGAAAGACGAATAACGTAGCGATGGACGCTTAATAAACTTGGGGCACTTCATCCAAGCAGAATATAAATAAGCATCGTCTGCATCTGACCTTTTAATATGCCGGGGTCTTAACCTATAAATACTCTAGACAATTTGGACTACTATTTCGAATTCAATCACAGGCCTAAATTGGCTTCACACTACGAATATTCTTAACATCAATTTATCTATGTTATGATTAAATATAAATAAGAATTTTAACAAGACACTTATTCATTTCCATTTTATCAACAACTATTTAAATTTGGGGTGGACATTATATTTATTTTTAAATAATTTTAAAATAAAATGAATGATAGATTAAACTGGATAAACTAGAGAATTATTGTTAAATACAATTAAGAATACAAGAAAAATTGATTTTATTGTCAAATATTACCTCTTTAGCCCATTTGTGCTGGGTAATAAACCCATGAGAAGCTGGAAGAAAATTCTCCTCACCACCATTAAATAAGAAAATGATGTTATGTTTTAATGTTTTCTCCGATTGAGAAATGACCCTCAACATTTCCAACATAACAGCACATCCTGCTCCATCATCGCTTCCACCTTAAAAATATTTTAAAAATTAACACTTTTCAAACAATAATTCAATATCTGTTTTAAAAAAAATAATAAAAATCGACTTCAAATTCACTTTCTAAACGTGTTCATACGTAATAATTCAATTATGTATGACACAGTAGTTCAATGAGGATCATAAATTATTAATCGTGCGAAAAATCATATGGAGATGCATTTCAAATAACATCGTTATGTTGATTAATAGACATATTTACTTTAAGTTAACCTATTACTAGTACTGGAACAAGAAAAATCTACGACAAATATTAATGAAAATAGTATAGTTTTGAGAAAGTTGATAATTAACTCAAATTGAATCAAAAATATAATCGGTGAAATTAAAAAAAAATCAAATTTTCTGTGTCAAGACTTAAAAAAATAAAAAGGAAAAATGTTACAGTATACAGATAATACAATAGATTAATAGATAATCAATGATAACGTGTAGGTTCTTCGTACACCAAGCAAGTTCTTAAGCAAGTTCCTTACTTAAGAAATCTAAAGAAACAACATATCGATTGCTACAAATTAAGGATGTTGTTTTGCAAAAGTTCTGTCTTCTACATCCATTAACCATGTTCCTTGAAAGATTGCTTTATGGAAAACTATTGGAACACTGAAACAACTTTCATGATCTACATTACAACCAATATACATCGAAGGTGTTGCTCCAACGACGATATCATTAACAATGTAGTTCTGTGTAATTATTTCAAACGTTTTTGATAACTTATGTTTATGAAGAACTTGCTGAGAACACTTGACAGCAAGGTAGATGTAAAAATATTATTCCCTTGCACTAAGGATCCCTACTAATAATCTAGACAAAAATAAGAATTAAAAAGAAAGAGGATTGGTACTGTCCATGCACAAAAATAACTCTTGCTGTATATCTATCGGATATCGGCCTATCGGATGCCATTCGAACATCTTTCACTCCTCCGAATAGACATACACATGGCCGAAGTAAACCGTGAGGATGTACAAAGGGACCGCTGGGGCCTCAGGCTTTGGTTATACCACCTATGGTCTCATTTGAAACTACATACATACTAGAACTCCTGCAGTAATGACGGGAACAATAATTAAATTTAGGAATAAAATACAGTTTGAAGTAGTGGAAAATAAATAGTGAGGAACGTCAACGAATGCTGGGTTAGTAGTAACAGGAAGATCAAAAGATAACAATACTCTTAGACGATTTTGCCCACCCTAGTTTGTCGTTCAAAATTACTAGCAAGTAATACCGATAAAATTTATATATTACATGAGCGAAGCTTTTAATAAGTATAGGTATTGTATTGGTATATATTGTATTCTTAATATGTCTGTATTGATGAAGACTTAATTAAACGGGTTTGTACATACAATATTGAGTACATATAATAATTATATGTATTGATTATTAATAGTAGATATGAGAAAATTAATAATATTGTGTTACTGAAAACCACGAAGGAAATTTGAAAGATAACGTTTTCTCGACGATAAAAGCTATGAAACTGTAGATTTTGAAAAGATAGTAAATACACTTAACCGCAAAATTAACGCAACACTCTGACTTTTGGTTTTATTTCGAGAAATATTATATATTTCCGATTCATTAATATCAGTTATAATAATTTGTAAGGATTTGTCTGTCTTCTTTATTTAATTTTGAAATCATAGCAGCTTTTCATTAGGGGCTTGTTTTTTAAGTAAATAAGCCTCACTTCTGAAATAAAAGTAGGCATGGTTTTTTTTAATTGTTTTACCAATTGATAAGATAACTGTCATTCGTGCAATACATAATGGAGTGTAGGAAGATGTGTTCAAATTGTAACTTTGTCCAATGAAGGACTAATAAATCGCAAACTTGGTAGAAGGTTTGGCGTGGTTTATACAACGGTCGGTAGGGTTCTGCAGAGATTTGTAGAGACCAACGATTATGCTAGAGGACGTGGCCAAGGCAGGCCACGATCTACAAATGCGGTGGAGGATCGATTTTTGATGCTTCGAGCACTTAGGGAACGGTTCACAACTACACGAAGCCTCCAAATACAACTATGCGAGGTTCATGGCACTGCTGTTAGTCAAGATACCATAAGAAGAAGACTTCGTACTCAAAAATTATGACCTCGGGCAGCAGCTACTGGTCCCAGATTATCTGCAAACCACCGAAGAAACAGATTGGCTTTTGCAATAAGGAACGTGGATAGGGAAATCCATTATTAGGAGCAGGTGTTATTTACGGATGAGTAACGGTTTTGTCTTGTAAGTTCTGATCGTCGTCCAAGAGTGTACAGAAGGCCAAATGAAAGATATTCCATATGTAACATTCAAGAAACCACATTATATAGAGGCGGTTCAGTGATGGTATGGGGTGGAATATCTTTTATAGCTCGCACGGAACTTTTTATCGTTGATGCTGGACGTCTGAATTCTGAATGATACATAACAGACATTTAAAACCTTTTGTGATACCTTTTACACCTTACATTGGCGATGGGTTCATTCTTCTGCAGGATAATGCGAGGCCATATACGGCCATATTGTTACTGAATATTTAAATTATGTTAATATTCAAGTCCTCGCGTGGCCAGCCTGTAGTCCAGACGTGATCCCAATTGAGCATCTTTGGGACATAATGGGACGGAGGATTAGAAGTCAGTATCTACCACCTAACAGCTTAGACGAGCAGCGACAAAGTTTTATTCATGTATGAGAAGATATCCCTCAAGAAACCATCAGATCTCTAATTGCAAGTATGCCACGACGATGTCAGGCCACAATAATAGCCAGAGGCGGTAACACTAGTTACTGATAACCCAAATACGGTTCAAAAGAAGTTCTTTGTGTTCATAACAATAATGATCATTTTACATGATTTTGTTTATTTTCAGTTTTCGTTTATTTCCTACAATTCATTTAAGTCAAACTTATTGTTATTATCGAAATAGTTCTGTTTATGTACTCAATTCTTAATATGTTTTTCAAAATGTATGATAATTTTGACTTTAATTATAATAAATCGAAATATATAAGTGGTGCATTAATTTTGCGGTTAAGTGTAGTTGAGAAATTCTACTTTTCATAATTTTCATATCAATGATGTGAACAAATACGCATCAACAAATATGTCAAAGGTTTTCATATTGATTTATAAAAGTATGTATAAAGGGCGCTTCTGTAAGTTGTAGCATGCTTTTAATCACACATCCTAGAGTGAAAATGATGACGATTCGTGTAAAAATATTTGATCTAAACCCATAATTGGCTAAGATATGCTTTTAAGCTTTCAAAGTTAAGAAATCTTCAAACATTTTTTTAAATATTTTCAATAGGGTTTGTCTTAGAAAAACAAAATTTGGTAAACTGTGCAATGTTATCATAATAAATAGTTTAAGATCACTATTGAAAATATCAAACCACGGGATCAATGCTATACAGGTGTTCACAAAGGTTTTTTTTATTATGTCATAAACCCTTAAATTTTCCAACTGATTCTAAAAGCCTATTTCATTTTAAAATAATTCTCACTCGTAGAAATTTTTGATTAGACGCATCGTTTTCGAGATATTTGCAGAAAAATACAACCTCGATTTTGGAATGTTTTCATTAATCGTAGGTGCTTATGGAAAGAAATTGTAAGTAAAGACAACCTGATAGAAAAATATATCTAAATATTGAAAGACATTTACGTGAGAAAGGAAATTTAAGACAGCAGTATGTAAATAACGGGAATCAGAGGTCAGTTCATATAACCTAACTAGAAGAAAACATTTTGGATTTTGTGACAGATCGAAGTACTGCTAGTACTGTTGATAGCAACAGTTTAGACATTTCTGAATATCCAAAGGTACGTCTTGGCATTTCCTACATGAACCGCAATTGTATCTATACCATTTATCGAGAATACAAGTGTTAAAAATTGCTGATCATCCCTTGCAAGTACAATGTCGCCATACTATGATGGAAAAATGTACTATTGATGCTGCGTTTTTAGAAAAAAGTTGTTTTTGCAGATAACCATTAATTTGAGAAATGCTGAAGAATAATTGTATTGAAGAAAATCTAGATTATATGCTACATTGAGTACTAATTTGATAGATTTCTTTTAAACGAACTTGAATATTTTTGTGAATAACTCGAAAACGATGCATCTAATCAAAAATTGATTATTTTGACTCTAAGTATTTGTGATTAAAATTATGCCACGACTTACAGAAACACTCTGTATATTAGGCAAACACGGCTGTGGTACGCTGCATGACAGATTTTACTAAAACATAGATACTTATTTACTATTTTGGTCCAATTATACAAAAGTTAAATTTTATCAACATAGCATATACTAAAGTGCGTCCCAACTAAATTACTGTTTAGTTCTTTATCTTTAGCATCGAAATTTCTATAACACAAATGTCTTTACAATAGGAGATTTTAATTAAAAAATTGGAAACACTCATATCCCAGGTAACAGGCACCGATTTAATGAAGAGGTTATCAATCATAATAGAGAGTTGTTAATAACCTTATGCGCACAGAACGAACTGCAAATTAATGATACTTTCAACTAACATTTGGGAACATAAGAAACCAAAATTTAAGCATCGAGTTTATTATTACAAATCGAAAAATCTAGCCCAGTCACATCTTAGACGTCACGATATTAACCTCTATGAATGAAAGGGCGCAATAACCATTTTCACTACAAAATTTAATAAATCACATGAACACTTGGCACCAGAAAAATAAATATAAATGTTTTAAATGTTGAAAAGCGCTTAATTTACTGGTTAATGAAGTCAAGTCTCTAACGAATATCTTGGTGCTTTCATTCTTGCATCAATTGAATTTAGCTTGCGTATAGTTTCAGGTTCTTATGCGAAATGCCAAAATAATTATGATCTATGCACGTTTAAAGCACTTGTAGCAAGAATTTTCTCCACGCTATGGACTGAATTTCCAACAGTTAAGCTGTCGATTGACTTACTCCCCGTTTT